AACGAAAAAGGAAATAAGCGCATTTTTTGTGCCACGCGGTCGATGCTGGCACATTTCAGAGTAAGCTGCGTCCAAAGGCGCCAAAGTTTAGAAGACTTACTTAGCAGGATTCATCCTGGGAAAGCGAATGTTGACCCTGGCCATTTTACTGATGAACGTATAGCACAGGAAGCGAGAAACGGAGCACGGGAGTGCTACCTCCATGTGACGTATAACCTCGGCTTCTATTGCACAACGCTAGTATTCAAATCAGCAGTTTTTGCCAAAATAAATGGGGAGCCAGCTATTTGCTTCGGAGCATTTATGTTTAGCAGCGAAAAATCCGAGAACGACTACCGCTGGTTCGCCTATTTTTTGGCAGATGCAATTGAAAGTACAGTCAACGATAGAGTGCGTTCCATTGTCGTGGATTCAGAAGCAGCAATAAATCAGATCAGTGCAATACCGCTGTTTATGAGTCCCTGCAGCCATATACTGTGCGAGTCCCACTTACGCACGAAAGCTGAAATGTTGTTGAGGCAGTGCGGCGCCAATAAAAAAGCTAAAACTGAAATATTGGCAGGAATATTCGGACAAGAAATGCTAACGGAACACGGAAGAGAGCGAAAATACGGTACGTTAGAAATTACGCAAGATAGAGTTAGACACCATCGGAAAATTTTTATCACAAATTCACTTGGCTCATTTTAGGGCTGGTCGACTGCATTTCGGAAGAGGTGTTTAAGGAGCGCTTAGAGCGCGAAAAGGAAAACTGGGAACTGTTATGCAGCGGCTTCACGAAAAAGTTTTGGAGCAACATTGTGCCAATGATCTTATCAGGCATGTAACAACTGCTCGTTAGGCATTACTTTATGATAATATCCATGCAGGTGGGATCACGACTTGTCTTTTCAGGTTATCTATTGCCCGCGCGATTTACATCAGGCCTTGGTGTTGGCAGAGTGATTGCGAATCCCGCTGAGAACACAAATGCGCGGCTGAAGATTCGGCTGCAGAATTTGCAGTGCACTGGTCTCCATGTCATAATTCATATGTTGGAAGAAAGATGTAAAGGTCTGGGTTTATGGCAGTAGCGATTGTTGTTTTTCTCGGAATTTGCTGAAATTTTCGAATTTCAGATGAGAGAACGCGTCTGAAACGCTGCATCATCAAAAATGAAGGAGAACTTGAGCTGACAGGAAAGTATGCAGACTTTTCTGTTTCGAAAGAGGAATGGAGCCAGATGTCGCCACTTCAGAAGCTGTGTGCTTGGCGCAAGATATGCATCGAGGAGGGCGATTCAAGTGAAATCATGTCAAGTATTTAACGAACAAATAATATAGCCATGTAACGGGGGATGATTCAGGATGTAGGCTTGTTATAATTGCGTATGTCAGGTAATCGCATTCCAGTCGGATTTGCAGTTGTTCAGCTTTCTTCCTTATTGTATGTCGCTGATTAATTTCCATAAGTCACACTTCCATCTGCACCAAGGCCCTGCCCTGCTGCTTGTTGTGTCCGCTAAGCTCAATTGCGTAAAAAGTGTCGGCGAGTATGCTGTAGTAACAAGTTCACGCCACTCTTCGGCTTAAACGTAATGGTTTCAGTTTCTGTGCAGACAGGCCTGTGCATTAACTGG